GGGGGAGGTTGGACCGCCGCTTGGTCACCAGCAGCAGCAGTTTGGTCAAGGTCAGGGTCAGGGTCAAGGTCAACAAGGTGGTGTTGGGGTTTCACAGTCTGGAAACGCGACGCCGAATTTGAGTGCAAGGATGGGGACAGCAACTGGAGCGGGAGGAGGACCTGGAGGAGGCGGCAACCCGGGTGGCGGTACGATGGCTTAGAGGGCTTTTGGTGCTGCCCCGGATAGGCTGGTGGGAGTGAAGAGGGAGGAAGAGGGGGATAGCATTGATCTTCGAAATGGTAATGGCGTTGGTAATGGCGGTGACGGCGGTGGTGGAATCGAAGGTGAAAGTGACCATGACGACTTTGGAAGCGATAAAATCATTTGTCACGTTCACTGACGGGGGGACCAGAATGGATATAGAGTCGTGAGAGGGGAAAAGAGACAGCAGGAATTCGGTTAGGCTGAGTGAAGCCAGTAGTAAGGATACTCACAAGAACTTGATGAGAACAAGACACGAATCAAGCAAGTCCAGCAAGTCTTAGATTTGGGGTTTGAGTGGAGGTAGAACATGAAAAGAAGGAAACCCCCCCTCCGACCTTACCTTGCAGTACCTTACTTTCAAAAAAAAAAAAAAAAAAAAAAGGGAAAAAAAAAAAAAAAAAAAGGGATGACAACAAAATAGGAGCAGCAAAAAAAAAAAAAAAAAAAAAAGCCACAAACCAGTGAGAGGGTACAAAAAAAAAAAAAAAAAAAAGGATTAAGGAACGTTCTACCATGCCATCGTGCGCCCTCGCGTTGCGTATTCTGCTTTTTATGTCATGTCTAAACTAAATGCTCGTTTTGTTGGCCCACCGTATCAGTCAGTCAGTCAGTCAGTTCCCCTCTGTCCTCCCCATGGTACATCAGGTACATCAGATCAGGTAAGGAGTAGGTTGGAAGTTTGTTAGATTCTGTGGTTGTTGTGGTGTTTTTTTTTAAAATTTTTTAGATAGAGCTAGGTGAGGAAGGTACCTTATCAATTTGCGTGCGTGCGTGCGTGCGTGTCGTCAACTAGCTAGGGTCAGCTACAGAGGTAGTTACCGGCTCACGATTTTGGCGGGAAAAAAGCCTTCGTTGATATAAAAGGGCTTGGACTCTTCGCATGAGATGGTGTAAGATAAAAACTTGGGTTTATTGAGTTCTCTGACAACCACAAGTCCAAGCACGGACCGGGGTGTCGCAGATACATTCCTATATCTATATAATGGCCCAAACTGCGGAACTGGCGCCGCCACCGCCGACCATTTCCCGAGTTCTTCGATCCCGAACTGTAACCCCGAACTCAACTCGAGCCTAGTGCCTATCTAATCTCCCTGGCGCCTAACAGTTGTTTCACGTTTCAGATTCCTCAAGTCCAGATCTGAGCCTGGTTTATCTGGGTCGAATGATATCCGAGTCTAGTCCGAGTTTATTCGTCTCAGGCTCCTGATTCGTTACGTGCCCTGCGCCTCTTGCGCCTCTTGTGCCTGACATGTTATCTGGATGGGACTCGGGAATTGCCAGCCGAGCCAGCTTGTGGGGTCCAGCAGACAACGGTATAGTGAACGGCTTTCAACTACATACATACTACTCTACCTTTGGTTTTGATTGAACGGTTGGTCCTAGATATAGAAGGCAGGTAACAAGAACAATGATAGGTATGAGTGGTAGATGGCGGGATGAGGGGTTAAATGTGATAATGTGGTTTCCCCATGTGTACTCGAGGGTTGTACTTGGTAGTTGGTAGGATTTGGCGTTTCAGTGTTTCACGATCCCGTCTAGCTTGTTGACGGCCTACAAGAGCAGCTTGAAGAACACAGCATTTGGGTCGGGCACACTTTGAAGAGAGGGCAGGTCGTGGGTTGGATGGTATTTGGGCAGTGAGCAAGTGATGGGTGCCTCGGCGTCAGGGATAGATTGTTTTTCGGTGCTATAAAGAGGGGCATGTGCTAGTTACCTAACGGACGGGTATGATGAAAGCTTAGATGAAAGCAATGGAAATGATAGGATTGAATGGCCGGATATTGTGACCGAGTGTCCAAGTATGGGCAACCGGTACCACAACGGGAACGTCAATGTTGATTTGGTTTGCGGCGGGGAATGTGATAATTGTAGGATGTGATCAGCGTATGACTTTTCCGCCGCGTATGAGGTAGGACAGTCGAGTCTCTGCCGCATCTGGAGTTTCAATGATGGGCAGAATTGTGACAGTTCTATCCGAACGCCACCGAGATCTCCATCTTGAGGTCTGGAGATGGTCGATGGGATGAACCGAGTTTGACTCCATTTTCAGAAAACGAGCAAGGAAGCAAGGGACCGGCATGAAGTGTGACGACGACGTGCAGCGTCAAAGTCAAGAATAAAAGACAGACGGAACACTGCCGGAATCAGAGAGTTCCCCCGTCCATGACCATCCGGAGCAGAGACTTCCCCGCCCGGACTTGAAAAGCGGTGCAACGCGCCACGACAAAAGCCTATCGGAGGGGGACTACCGACCTCCCTGCCGTGTTAAAGCATGAACCGCTTTCTTGCCACATTATAGCAGCAACGATATACTGCCCAAGCTGCTGTGCCTTGACAAACGAGTTGTTAGCTCGACATCAGACTGAGCTGTCTCGCCAAGCCAATGAAGCCGAGTTGGTACCTGGGTGATAAGATCAGCAGTTAAGGTCTAGATTCCAACTTGAGCGAAGCATGAGAGCAGGTACGCAGAATGTGGTGAACGGAAAGAAACAAGTTTTGGCCTTGCTGTCGTGTAAACGAGTCATGAGATATGTAGCTTTGATTCGAACGTGAGCACGCCACATGGCAAGGAAGAGTGCATTTTTTGCATGTCATGCATGAATGATGGACATGATTCCTCCGATCAATGGCGTGAAAGGGCTTGCCGAAAGATTACTTTTGGTTGCCTTGGTTGTCCCTCCCTTCTGATCCTTTTTTGTGACTTCTTCAACCAGCGTTTGGTGCCGCCATGTGTTGTCGAGCACGACATGGCCAAACCGACGAATCTGGAAGGTAGAGAAGGATGGTTACCAAGCGGGAAGTGGTCGAGAGCCCTTCCCGTTTGTTAGTGGGTACCGGCGACGAGGCCAAGTCATCACGCAGTATTTTAATGTCTTGCATCTAGGGACTGCTGACACTGCACAATGTGAGTGGGAATTGGTGATGGCGGTTTGAAATTGCAGGGTGATACCCTGGTGATACCAACGAGAGGGGAGGGTAGCACTTGGGGTTCCCCAAAAAGACAAACATGCAAAATGAGAGGTCTTTGGCCGAGAATGGTGGTGATGTTGGTGCAGAGGAAGGACAAAGGCCGAGGAGAACAAAGCAGTGATGTTCGAGATAAGATAGAATGTCGCAGTCATATATCCGAGTCTGACGGACGACATCTGCGGCCCCCATGGCCTATGTAGGTAATAGCCGCGGGACAGATTCAGCTGGGGCTAGCAAACAACATGTTTTGTTTCTCCGAAAGTCCTCTGCTTGGGGTCTGGAATATGGATATTACCCGGGAAACTGCTGGTGCTCATGATGGAAGTTGTCAAGGGATTCCGCCGGGCGGCCAGGGGCATCATGTCCAAGGAATGGGGCCGCCAGGAACAGAAGCCCAAGACGGGACTTTGTGTTACATTGGTAACGGAACTCGGCAGTATCGTGAGTTTTGTCCGTTGGTGGTGAGGCTCGCGGGGGCCGGGGAAGTTCTTTGGGATTTTCCTTTTACAACTTGGCACATATGATACCCTGGAGTTAAGGCATTGTGGGGATTGCGTAGATGGCGCGGCAACGGTGGAAACAAGAGAAACGATTGGCGCGGGGGCTTCCAAAGTTCTGTTGGTGGTGACAGGGGCACAGGAACGGACAGCCAGCCAGAAGGGGATCAGGGGCTGCAAGGAACGCCATCTCAAACGTGCAGTCCAACCCAATCAGGCGCTGATCACTGCTGAGGAGGAGGTCGACGACTGGCCTTTGTACCTCGACAAAGTTGGAAGCGAGGCAGGGATCTTTGTTTGAAACATTTTCCATGGACAGGCGAGAACGAGTCAAGTTGGACTTGGATGTTCATGGTGAAGCTGGTGATGGGAGAAGTCTCTTTTTGTGGCAGCTGATCATTGTGCATTGTGCACTGGCGATAATCTAGGAAGAGAGGCAACCATGGCGAGTCGTGTCTGTCCATGCGCAATCGAACCGTGGCGGCGATGGAAGAGAGGTGATAAGGACAGAAACAGGGAGAAGGAAATGCGCAATGAAAATGTCTCTTTTCGATAATGACATTTAATATTGGTGATTTGGTGTTGACATTGATGTCGAGTCTAAAAATGCATCAACATGGTGGAGTTGACTTTATCAAGTTCAGCTTGAATGAGAATTCAAGGTGGAAATTCGAAGCGCCCGAAAAAGCTGGACTTTGTTAAGCCCCGCAATACTTACAGCTACGTACATCTTGTAGGCTAAACCTAAAGCGGGAAAGAGCCCGCCAGGAACCGTGAAACATATGAGCGCACGAGCCAGCAAATGAGCCGAGAGTAGCCCTCCTGCCTGCCAAGAAGTGATTCGACGATCCATGGGGCGCCACAAAAGCCACCTAGACAAGCATTGGCTTTTTGATTTGACGCAGTGACCACCTAACACTCTCAAAGTGGGTTGACCAAGGCACCGCGGCTTGCCCAATTCGTTCATCATTTGCAACCCGACAACACAGTTCCTTTCTTCATCATTCATCACGCATCGAAACACCAAAAGATGATATTGATGAACTGAGCCACCACAATCCAACAGCCATCCTTTCTTGCAAATAACCAACTCGCTCGTCTTTTCTTGTTGACTCACCGCTCTGTATCTGATTCACATTTTACCCGGCACCCTAATCAGACAGACCAGGTCGTTGTCCGTCGCATACGGCCGGTCACTGTTTTTGCAGAATAGCAAACTACAAACTACTACGACCGAGTAGAAGAAACCAAACCGATATTGAACTTCAACACTGCCACTACACGCGGAAATCCACAATCCACTCCAGCGGCACGGTCAACCTGTTGTTGACGTTGTTGCCCCAGCAGGCTATTCCCTGATATCGAGTGGACTGGCGGTTGCATTGACGAAACCCCTGAATTGGTGAAAGTGGTGTGTACAACCTTTTTTACTTCTCCTCTCAAGAATGCCTGTGAACAACCGGGCCATGGTGCCGCCAGATCTGGCCCGTTTCGTCCGATCCCGCTCTGCCACCATCCAGCCCATCGACCACATCCAGGTACCCAAGCATCCACAGCCAATCGAGTCCTCTTTGACCTGCCCAGCGGTTGGACTAGAGGCTCCCGATTTAGTCGTTACTACCATCCTCAAGTCTCCATTCCCCCCCATTCCCCATGCTCCCGAGCTAGCCCCTAGCTTGTTTGAGTTTCAAAGGACTTGTACACCAACCACATGTGAACCCCGTGTTTCTTTGTTTTATCTCTGATGGAGGACGCGCCTATTACCAAGGTTCCAAGAAATGGGGGGATCCATCGTTGGGTTGTCAAGTACCATCTCGGCGGTTGTTAGTTACCATGGCAGCGCTTTGACATCCAAGTGATTCATGGCCATCTGCCCTTAATCGCCTCCTGCTATTACCAACAACACATCATGTTCGACATGACAAGGGGTGAAAGAAACATCACTAACGCATGGCCATGTTGCGGATCCAGGTACAAACAGACACCACAGCTTCCACTCGTTCCCCTGTGTCACTGTCCAAGAGCTAAGGCTTAGCATGGCGGTCCCACTCGAGAGCTTCCGTGAGAAACCCATGTCCATGATGGAGATGGACGACGAGGCGGCTATCGCTTGCCACCACTCCTCCTTGTACACGCCTTCTCCTGGTAGTACTGCCATGGCCATGGGGGCGGAGAGGCGCCAGGCCTGCTCTTCGACGACTACGACGCTGATCCACACGACGAGGCAGAGCCTCTGCACCCTCAAGCCATATGCGACTGCAGACGCACCTGTTCCCCTTCTAGTATAAGTTGTCGTCCTCCCAACCATACTCCCTCCCATCTGGACACCAAGATTCATTCTCACCCACATTTGGCTCGGCCTTGTCCAGCTCACTCCCACCACTTTCATTTTCTTTTCTATTCTACTTACTCCTACTTTTCCAATCTTCTATCCGACCTAGCCAGCCGTGTTGGCTACTCATCCGAATCTTCAACCAGCAAGGTGAGTTCAAGTACCCGTCATCCGATATCAACTTCACCTTTCATCATACCCCCACTTGTATTATGCACCTACGGGTACTACTACTACACACAATTTGCCCTATTGAGAAATCAGATGGACCACGGGTGCCCTATTGTGCTATTGTCAGCGCATTCACTGGGCTGTGAGCACTTAATGGGCGCTGGCAATCAGCCCTATTCATTGAGTGTGAACAAAGGGAAGCTGGACATTGTTCTATTGTCCATCCCGCTGCGTACCTTGCAGCGACCTTCCCTTTTCTTTATCAACCCTCGTGGGATCCTAGAACTTTCCCCTGTCCTCATTTTTTCCCGCATCTTCCAATCTTCTACAATCGTTCTTTCGGCACATTCGCTAATACTTGCATTCTACACAGTACCGGAGCCTCAATCCCCGGTCTTCACACAAACAAAAGTCCAAAAGATATAGCTGGTTCTACATCATGATGGGCCTCACTTCAATACTCACTTTTTTTCTCTTGGCCATTCGGCTATTTGCTCCAGCCCTGGCGGCTCCAGCACCCCGTCAGGCTACGGGTGGGTGGTGGTTGAGCTCCATCGAACGTCAAGGTCTCGCTCCCTTCAACGAGGACAGCGCCAACTACAAGGTTTTCCGCAACGTTCGCGACTACGGCGCAAAGGGCGATGGATCGTCTGACGATACCGAGGCCATCAACAAGGCCATCGCCGACGGAAAGCGATGCGCCCAGGGCTGTTCCTCGAGCACGACCACCCCTGCGCTCGTTTACTTCCCTCCCGGTACCTACGTCGTCAGCAAGCCCATCATTCAGCTTTACTACACTCAGCTTGTTGGCGATGCCATCAACCCGCCGACGCTCCAGGCCGCTCCCAGCTTTGAGGGCATGGCTGTCATTGATGCCGACCCCTACTCGGACGACGGCGACAACTGGTGGGTTAACCAGAACAACTTCTTCCGCCAGATTCGCAACTTCGTCATCGACCTCACCAAGATGCCTGTCAACCGTGGCGCCGGTATCCACTGGCAGGTTGCCCAGGCCACGAGCTTGCAGAACATTGTCTTCAACATGCGCAAGGATGGTGGCGCCGAGAACACCCAGCAGGGTATCTTTATGGATAACGGTTCGGGCGGTTTCATGAGCGACTTGACCTTCAACGGCGGCAGATATGGTGCCTTCTTCGGTAACCAGCAGTTCACCACTCGCAACCTCACCTTCAACGACTGCCAAACCGCCATCTTCATGAACTGGAACTGGGCCTGGACCTTCCAGGACGTCAAGATCAACAACTGCCAGGTCGGTATCGACATGTCCAACGGTGGTCCCACCGGCCAGACTGTTGGCTCCGTCCTCGTTATCGACAGCAAGTTCAGCAACACGCCTATCGGCGTCAAGACCGCTTATGACCCCGAGTCCCCCCAGACCAACGGCACTCTCATCCTTGACAACGTCGACATGTCCGGCTCCGAGAAGGCTGTGTACAACAATGCCACCGGGGCCACTATCCTCGAGGGCAGCAAGACCATTAGCTTCTTCGCTCAGGGACGCGAGTACACTGGCAAGCCCGGCAGTGCTGGCAAGGCGGTTCAGAACCCTTCGAGCTCCATCAAGAAGCCCGATGTTCTTCTCGACTCTACCACCGGCAAGGTCTTTACCCGCTCCAAGCCTCAGTACGAGAACGTTCCCGCCAGCTCCTTCTTGAGTGTCAAGTCCGCCGGTGCCAAGGGTGATGGCAAGACTGATGACAGCGACGCGATCCAGGCCGTTTTTGACAAGGCCACCAAGGATCAGATTGTCTACTTCGACCATGGTGCTTACCTCGTCACAAAGACGATCAAGGTTCCCAAGAACATCAAGATCACTGGTGAGATCTGGCCCATGATCCTCGCTGGCGGTGACAAGACTTTCAAGGACCAGAAGGATCCCAAGCCCGTCTTCCAGGTCGGTCAGCCCGGTGAAACTGGCGCCGTCGAGATGTCCGATCTTATCTTTGGTACTGCTGGCCCTCAGCCCGGTGCTATCATGATGGAGTGGAACCTCGCTGGTACCAAGCAAGGTGATGCCGCTCTGTGGGATGTTCACACCCGTATCGGTGGCTATGCCGGCACTGAGCTCCAGCTTGAGAAGTGCGCCAAGAACCCCAATGCCACCAACGCCATTCCCGAGGACTGCTTCGGCTCTTTCATGATGCTCCACGTCCCTCCCAAGGGTTCCGTCTACCTCGAGAACACGTGGTACTGGGTTGCCGACCACGACCTCGAGCCCGCTGCCGACAACCAGCAGATTGACGTCTTCAACGGTCGTGGTGTCCTCATCGAGGGTGAGGGTCCCGTCTGGGGCTGGGCTACCGCCTCGGAGCACTCGGTTCTCTACAACTACCAGTTCTCCAACGCCTCCAACGTCTACCTCGCCCTGATTCAGACCGAGACCCCTTACTTCCAGGGCAACCCCGACGCCACCAAGCCGTTCGAGGTCAACGCCAAGTACGACGACCCCGACTTCTCCAAGTCGTGCCAGGGTGACACTTCCGGCACCTGCGAGCGCGCCTGGGGTGTCCGCGCCGTCAACTCCAAGGATATCTTCATCTACGGCGCCGGCCTCTACTCGTTCTTCGACAACTACGGTCAGGACTGCCTCAAGACCCAGTCATGCCAGACCAACATGGTCTCGCTCGAGAACTCGGAGGTCAACTTCTTTGCTCTCAGCACCAAGGCTAGCGTGAACATGCTTACTATTGACGGCAAGAGCATGGCGGAGGACAAGGATAACAGGAACAACTTTTGCGCGACGCTGGCGCTGTTCCGGTCTTCAACCTAGGGGGTTGGACTGTGAATGGTGCAGTGTAACGTGTAAGAGGTTTTCGGTCTGTGACCCCTCTGGATGGAATTTTTGGTTCTTCACTTCTTATGACAAACATTTTTCGATTCTTGTCAATGGCCTTTTACGGGCCTTCCTTTTGAAAGATTTTTACTCCTGTTTTGTTTTTGCATCATGGCGTTCACTTTTGAACAACTACAGAGAGGGTCACAATGGACGGTACATCAACAGAGATTTTGGCGGCTTCACTTTTCAAATTACATATGATACCAGCTGGGAAGGCATTTTTGTTAAGCACGATGGAAAATTGGTGGTTACAGAAAAGGAGATCAGTATATGTCAAACACCCTTTATGAACATATGATGGCGTCTTCTTTCACCAGATGAGTGAATGAAGACTGCCCAAAATGGATTGCTTCAAAGGAACTCTTATTGTTCCATTGTTCTAGTGACTCTGAGTGACATCGTGATGGTGTGCTGGTGATAACGGCGATTGCCGGGACCGACGTGTGCATACCTCAGACAGACCCGGGGAACCAACCCCATTATGCCCCGCCAGTGGGAATAGCGGCATATAGCAGACGTAAGGAGGGTACTCCCCTTGTTTTGTGACCGAAAGGAAGGCATCAATACGACGAGAAGGCCAGCGTCACAAGGAAGGAAGCTAACAGTACGAAAGAAGGTGCGCATTCCATCAGGAAAGCTAGGTAGCGACTGATTGGAACCTGGGCTGGCGACAAGTACTTCTACCATAGTTTAAGCACAGCATCCACATGCCGTGGGAGGACTTTATCTCTCCATCAATCAACACACTTTCGATCCAGTCAAGTTGGCTGCAGTCCCTCTTAGCTCACAGTCATGGCGTTGATGGCGTTTTCCTGGTTGTGCCAGTTGCTTCTACGGGTTAGGGTTATCGCCGTCTGTCATTGCTCGAAGGATGCACGTGCGCTGCTGAGTCATCATCCTCGGTCACATTTCGCAATTCGCAACTTGGCAAGACCGGCGCAAACGGGGCAGGCAAGGTCCGATATGTAACGTCATAGCGGCCTCCGTTCCCTTCCAAACAATCTTGCATCGCGACACTGAAGTTGCTTGCCGGGGACTTGTACACTGAAGCAAGGACGGATGACAGCAAGAATATCGTCACACCCGTTTTTTTGCTGATCGTCTCTCGCCAGCTCCCTAATCTTCAATTCCTTTTTATCATGTCCGTGTCGTCCTAAAACCAAGCAACAACTGTCATTACTTGATCGTTTCAGCGCATCGATTCGCTTAACAAATTCACGCCCTCCCTCCCTCTACAAGTACGGAACAAATCATTCCCAGTCAGGCTCTCCCTTCCGACAGGACTCTCGATCGGACGAGCGCCATACCTACCTTGGACCGACGAGCGAACAACAAGCAAGCATCAACTTGCACCGAGAACCTCAACCTGTCGGAAACCTCCAACCCCAATTTCGATGGACGCGCCATCAGCAGCAGCAGCAGCCGTCCCCTCTCCCCTGACCGACCCTCCGCAACCTTCACCCGGCGAAAACCCTCCAAGATGGCCGCCGCCTCTCCCGAACTTTCAAACGGGACCACGTCCTCAAGCGGTAGCCAACAAAACAACAAAACCGCTGCGAGGAACAACCCCTACTACCCAACCCCCACCGAAACCATCCTGCTAGCAGCCTACCCAGTCCTCCTCGTCTTCGGCACCCTCTTCTCGCTGCTCAACCCCAACGTCCGCTCCTCTCCTTACGACTTCATCTCCCAATCGCACGTGCAAAACTCCGGCGCCGTGCCCTCGTATTTCGCGAGAAAGGATAACCTGTTCAACGTCCTTTTCGTGAAGAGGGCTTGGTTCTGGATTACCGTTTCCTTTTTCGCGTTTGTCTTCACCCACCCGAGCTACAGATCGACCGAGCGCAAACTTCGTGCGACGGTGCGCTGGGGCCTTGTCACGCTGTGGTGGATCTTTGTCACGCAATGGTTTTTCGGTCCGGCGATCGTTGATCGCGGGTTCCGGGTTACTGGTGGAAAATGTGCGGTTGCGCAGGCCAAGGTCAACGAACAAGTAAAGGCGGACTCGATTCCCGGGCCGGTGGGCGCAGATGTGGACGTTGCTGGGTTTAAGGAGTTCGTTACCGCGGCGGCGTGTAAAGCTGCTGGAGGACGGTGGACGGGCGGACATGATATCTCTGGTCATGTCTTCCTTTTGGTTCTGGGCAGCGCGTTCTTGGTGCAGGAGGTTGGGTGGGTTGTTGCGCGCCATTACTGGAGACGGAATGTCAGGAATGTGGATGAGAGGACAGTGGTGATGCATGATGGGGCTGTCAAGTCGGCTGGCACGGATCTGGCGGCTGATAAGAGGTGGGATGATTATAGCCCGGAGATGGACGAGGAGAGGGAGGTGAGGGAAGTAGCTGTTGCGGGAGGAGGACTTTGGGATGCGCTGGGACATGGAGGGAAGGCGATCCTCGGCGTGGTTGGGTTAAGCGCGTGGATGTTGTTGATGACGGCTATTTACTTTCATACGTGGTTTGAGAAGGTGGGTACCCCTTTTGTCCCCTGGGATTTGAGTGAAAGAGAAGCATCGCTAACACATTCACTCACAGCTTACTGGCCTTCTCGTCGCGCTCATGGGATTGTACTTCACCTACATTGTGCCGCGCTTCGTCCCGGCTCTGCGTGGGATTGTCGGACTTCCTGGTCTATAAAGTCATGCATAGTCATGGATGGCCTGAAGGAGCCACCTAGGTGATGGACGAAAGCGATCGAGTCCGAACATGATATGATGATGGAGGAGATACCCGTAACATTGCACTGTGGCACTGCATAGAATAGAACTACTCGCTTGTAATATCGATGTTTTACTGTCTTTTTTCCCCTCGCTAAGTGCAGGCCCAGGTTATCCAAGCTCATGAGCCAGGGACTAGCGCATGGGCCGACTATGACGTCATTGAAGCTATTCACGACAACTTCGTGTCTCATTTGAGAAGCACATGAACAAACAAACAAACAATCAACACTACGTGGGGACGCAGGCGATAGATATCAAAGGGAAATGTTCCACCTGCCTCTTCTGTTGAATGTCTTTACGCGTCGCAGTACCATAACAGGTTGATGTAGTGGTACTGATGTGTGATGTGTGGAGAGCGAGGTAAAATTTGCTGTTAGCTAGCTGTCGCAGTGGATGGGAAGTGGTAATTAAAACCTCAATGTTTTTTCATTTTTTCATTATATATTTCCGACATGAGAACTGAAAGAACCAAGTGGTTCCTTGCTTCCATAACAGACTGCCTAACCGTGACCTATCCAGGACCCGGGGCCCTCCGTTCGTTTAATTGCAACTCGGCCGCTGCTTCTCGTATATAGGTACTTACATGTTGGATCTTTGCGGCTTCTACTTTCTCGCGATTGAATTCAGTTCAGTTCTCTGTTTTCCATTGCCTTCGATGATTTCACTGTCCTATCGTCATGTCCTCACTATCCGACTTGTTATCACCTTGCTCAGTCTCACCCATCTTGTTTTTTTACAGTACTTTCAGTGTATCAGTTCTTTTCTTGTAATACCATCGACGGTATCTCCCAGCCCTTGCCTTTTTCACTGTAGGAGGTCGGGTGATGTATGTCGCTCTTGGGAGGAAGTTAGGCTGGGTAAGTAGAAACCGCAACATGGACGACTGTGTAGAACACTTTATGCCATTGAATTCAAGAAGGTCTTAAATACCTAGTAGAGTTGCAGTAACATTCCTCCTGCATTTCTTAGTAACTTGGGTGGTACTTGGGTATGCTGGTACGGTACGTGTTGTTCAGGGCAGCTTCTTTCTCTCTTTCTTTCTTAGCTTCCTTCACGGTCTCTTACAATTTACCCTTTCCGCTCTCTAATTCAGCACCTGACCTGATTCAATCCATCCCCCCATCCCATAAGTAAGGTATTCCTTTCCCATGCTGCTTTTCCCCTGCCTGGCCTTTCCTTGCACCACAATAGCCCATCCATTCCTTTCCATTCCATTACTTCTGCCCACATCCTTCACCTTCCCTCCCTTCCCCCCCCCCCCCCCCCCC